ATACTTTTTCTACTCAAAATAAGCTATGATTTATTAACTAGAGTTAAAGTATTAAGAATCTGGATTCTCCTGAAATGTTTTTGTTTTTGCTTTTTTTTTTTTTTTTGACTTGTAATGAAACTTGTAGAGCTAGAAGTCAGTAACAGGTGGCTTTAGAAACTTGACAACTTGAAGTAAAACTATAATCTAACCTTTTTGCCTTCCGGTTTATTGTACTTCATCTCCAGTTAGGAAATATTGCTTTTGCTGTGAAAAAGGACACAGATCACAGACCCATGGAAGATAAACTAGAAATTCTTTCTCATTATTGAGAAAAGTACACATTTAGTTAGTTGAAGTAAAATGGACTTCTCTTGGATCTATAGACCAAAATGTCTCATCTCAAATTAAATCTTTCATAGCATATCTTAGGCTCTGTTGCAATGTGCAAAAGAATTTGGAGATGAGACTAAAGTTTTCCAAAAGTCCATGATCTAACAAAAGGAGGTAAAGGAATAGTTTCTGTGTGCTGTACTGCTAATTTCTATTCTTTGGGATTTAAGAGAATCATTTAATAAGCATAACTTCCTCTAACTTTCTTTAATTTCCAGATTTCCTGAATGTCATTCAAATATTAGACATTAATTTTGGTAAATGTAAATTTTTAACAGTCAGGCATGGTGGCACATGCTTTAATCCCAGCAACTCAGGAGGCTGAAGCATGAGGATCACAAGTTTGAGGCCAGCCTCAGAAACTTGGTGAGACCCTGTCTCAAAATAAAAATTTTTAAAAACAGGCTGGGGATGTAGCTCAGTGGTAGAGTACCCCTGATTTAAATCCCAGTACCACAGATTCACACCCAAAAACCAACTAACCAAACAAACAAAAACATATTATATCTGCTTTTCCTGTTTAGGGAGAAGACATTGTCTTGGAGAACATCTGGCTCGGATGGAAATGTTCTTGTTTTTTACAGCACTGCTCCAGCGGTTTCATTTGCATTTTCCATATGAAGTGGTTCCAGATCTGAAGCCTAGGTTAGGCATGACATTGCAGCCTCAGCCCTACCTTATCTGTGCCAAAAGACGCTGAAAGTTATAGATATTTGGGGAAATAAGGATGTATGTTTCCTTACCCCTGAACCTTATTTAATCTAATCAGCGTGGTGTTTGGATAAGTCACAGTATCATAAAGTCAAATGAACACAGATGTGTCATTGAAAACAGCACTAGAGCAAAATTAAGTATTAACAATGATATTTTTAAAGCTTCTATGACTTCTAAAGTTAAATTCTCTATTGAGGAGCACAAAGGTTCATAAGATGCTGAGGGCCATGGATGTCCTAAGTAGAGCCACTTATTTGGTGTAAGTTTTCTCTCATCCTTTCTTGACTCCACATGGTTTCTTACCTCATGAGAGCTTGGCCTCCAAATGCCAATTCCTTTTTGACCAAGTGTCAGTCGAGTTTAATAGAAGACTGTGGAATTAAAATGCAAATAAAT